GGCACCCTGCTATGAAAGGAGTCTCAGCACATAACTCCGAGCTCGTGAGCTATCCGGATATGAAGAGACTTCTACTTCACATAACAGAGTCCCCCAACATCTCTTCCTCTTTGATTTAAATATGAAGAAGTGCCATCACCAGCCCTAAGGGCCAATTCGTCTCATCTCAGGAGAATCCAGTCTGATAATTGACCATGACCTGTTTTGTAGTGATTTTAGCAAATGGCAGTAATTTGTCAGCAAAGAGATCTTAAAAACAGTGAGCAAGTGTTAACAAGGGATAGGAGCCATGCAAAACAAGGGATTGCTAAGTCAACCTAATTGTCTGGTGGGTTGAAATCTTGAAAATGGGTTATTACAAAGTTTTTTGAGAATGTTTACATTGGTTTCAACAACATTTGATTCATTCACAAAGAAACAGCATCTTTTTTTTCTCAAATATCATACACCCTCCCCATATTTATTAAGTCCAATGTTCTTCTGTTGTGAAGCACAGCCTTGGCGAGAGAGTTCATTTGCTGTTGGAGAGATATCAGGCTTCAGTCGCAGATGTCATTGCTTAGTCCAGCCTGTCTCAGCCAGAGCAGGATCAGGCGTGGCTTGGACGGGGATTTCCCGCCAGGTGCTGGGCTTGTAGCTGCTGTAGCCATAGCAATGCCTCCAGCATCCAGTGTAAGTTCGATCTCTACCAGCAGGGGGAAGAAGATCTTTCTCTGCTGGCAGCTGTGTATGAGGAAAGGGCTTCTTATACCTGGAAGCACTAGTACACAAAAGGTGGGCAAAGAGAGATTAACACATTTTTGGGTTTTTCCTTTACACTATATGAAAAGAAGGGGCGATGCATGCTGTGCTGGAGAGAATAGTCAGTGAGGCATTTGTAATGAGTAGGCTTGCTGCTGAAAATGCAAATTGAATGGTTAGCCAGTTGTTTGAATCCACTTAGATGAGAGTCAGTGAAATCTTTTTCTGTTCCTGGGTAGAGAAGGGTGATAATTGGTACTGCTGTCAGTAGAAATCTATTGCTGGATGCACAAAAGAAGGCAGTTAGACATTGGGGTAGGTGGTGAAGGGAAGAAAGTTAGACTTGTTCCAGGACATAGTCGATCTTATTTGGTCCTCTGTCTTTCCTGTAAAATGACATGGTAAATTAGCACAGACCTGGCTGCAGATGTAAGCTGTTGAGAGACATGAAAGTTAGCTGTGGGGTACCTAGAGAATGCACCTGAGTAGAATTCTGCTATTACTCCAACATGCCAGTGATTGTCTCATAGATCTGATTTTTCCTTGAAAAATAAAATCTCTAGAACATGGTATTAGGGAGAGTGGGGGCTGTCTGGAGCATTGGTGCTAAGCAGGGTAAAGACAGCCATGAGAATGACAGAAAAGGGAGCTCCAGGGGGACATCTGTGGCGTACAGTTTCCACTAGGTCATAGATCTCTCTCCACGTGATCCGGTGTGGCTTTGGGTGAAGTCTCTGCCTCTTTTTTTTCTTTGTCTCTGTCAGGGTCATGCAAGCCATTTTCTTCGTGGGGGGAGGTATCGGACATTTCTAGCTGGAATCCAGATAGGCTTTGGTTGGTCCTGTGGAAAAACACAAGCAAATCCTCTCCCTGTGGTCAACAAGGGAGCTGGTCTTTCCAGAGTCCATCAAAGGGGGTCTCTCCATTTAACCATGATGGGTGGTACTGGGTGTGTTTGAGCCCAGTGTTGGGTGATGGGAGGAGCATCTGTCCCTCTATGTACATCTATTTTAATAAAGGAACGGCCTAGCCATGGGAGTAAATTAACAGCATAAATGCTGTCAGAATAAAGGTTGAAGGGTTTATTGATTTTATCAAGAGCCATATAGATAGCAAAGAGCTCTTAAAACTGTGGGGATTTATCAGATAGAGGCTGAAAGTATATTATAGGTGGATCATAAGGAGCGTCATATA